AGAGTTTGCATAAGCTCAAGATTGCATCGTGCTCGAAGTTTACATGCGCCCGAATCAAATCAAGTCACAAGAGTATCAAGAGATGCCAAAAATAGATAAGCTCTCTTTACTCATTACTTATATCCCAAAGGCGTCATCCTCCAAAGACATCATCTTTCATGGCCTGCGGACTTCATGTCATGGCCTGAGGACTTATTTTATGCATATCATGTTCCTAAGGCGTCATAGTCTTAAGGCATCATCCTCATGGCCTGCAGACATCATATCATGGCCTAATGGTTTAATTTCTATCTATCATGATCCGAAGGTGTCATAGTCTAAAGGCGACATTTTCATGGCCTACAGACAACATTTTCATGACCTGAGGATACACTTTGCATATCATGGCCCTAGACATCATAGCCTAAGATGTCATTTTTTCACGATCTTAAGGCAAACATTCATGGTCAACATGGGAATCGCATCATGTGTACATTTTCCCCGCTTATTTTGATATATATGTTCTAATTAATCCATTTAAGTTTTATTACAAGTTACAGATGTGCAAATTACAGACAAATTCGCCTTTTGAACGGCTGTTCACTTGTTTACAAACAAAGGATCCGACAAATTCTTGACTACTCGCACTATCGTTTCGCTACTCATCTATCATTCAGGCTACCATGAAGACATCTTCGGATTCATCTCGCCACTGTGACCTACTGTCTCTTCATCTAGGCTCGTCCGCCTTACAATGCGACATCTAGGCTCGTCTGCCTTACAATGCGACGTTTAGGCTCGTCTGCCTTACAATACGACATTTAGGCTCGCCTGCCTTACAATACGACATTTAGGCTCTTCCGCCTTACAATAGGATGTTTAGGCTCTTCCGTCTTACAATAGGATGTTTAGGCTTTTCCGCCTTACAATAGGATGTTTAGGCTCGTCTGCCTTACAATACGACATTTAGGCTCGTCTGCCTCACAATACGACATTTAGGTTCGTCTGCCTTACAATACGATATTTAGGCTCTTCCGCCTTACAATAGGATGTTTAGGCTTTTCCGCCTTGCAATAGGATGTTTAGGCTCGTCTGCCTTACAATACGACATTTAGGCTCGTCTGCCTTACAATACGACACTTAGGCTTGTCTGCCTTACAATACGACATTTAGGCTCTTCCGCCTTACAATAGGATGTTTAGGCTTTTCCGCCTTACAATAGGATGTTTAGGCTTTTCCGCCTTAAAATATGATGTTTATGCTCGTCTGCCTTACAATATGACGTGTAGACTCTCCTTACAACCAGATATTTTCGTCTATATTATTATAATCTTTATAGTATCCAATCTATTGGAGTTTGACGTTTATCCTTAGAGATGGGTTTCAATCTTTCAAGAAGTTAAAGACTATCAAGGCTTGCACTACGTCTCAAACAGATACGCTTCTTATCATCTTTTGTCATTTATTTAGAACTCATATTTTATCATTATTGGTCATACATTATTCATAAGCTAACATTTTATCTAGAATTTGCAGATATGATCGATCGCCCTTGATCAAAATTATCATGCTATCCTCTATCACAACAAAGACTCTATCAATTCTTCGTTTTTCATACTTCGACTTGCTCAAATGTTGATAACCTCACTCTATCATGCTCTTCCTGCTTATCTGTCACGCTATTCTAGTCTCTCAATCTCTCTTTTCTCGCTACTCTATTCTTATCTATTCAAGCCGATATCGTGCCTTTCAAATACCTTAGCGCTCTTTCAATTTTTAAGAGTTTCATTTGCTCTTGAATCTAGAACTACACACGACCTGATTCTCGTATAACCAGAGATATGTAGGCGACTTAAAACCAAAGTCTCGGTCGTACCCTTTTTCAACTCTATATCGTTTCAATTGATCCGCTGACATCTGTCGTCGGTCGGACAAAATCGGCTACTAAGTCAACGTTGGTTGCCTGACAATTCATTCTTCATTCTCAATCAACCAAGGGGAAGCTGTTGACACCCAATTTTGACCGACCTTTGACCATTTTTAGGAATACTATTCGATTAAATACGTATTTTAATTTTAGAATTTTTAATCGACTTTGCTTGAAAATTATATATTTTAGTATGTTTTACTCTATAAAATTATCATAAATATTATTAAAATATTTTAAAATTACTAATGAATTCCAAATATTTTAAAGTTTAAATGATTTTTCAATTATATAAAAATATTTTAATATATGTAGTATTTTAATTAAATAGTAATTCCTACACTTTCCTTAAATTTTAAATTCTAGCCTATTCTATAATAATTTCTTTCAATTCTGGCCACTTCAATTAAAATTTTATTACAATCATAGCCACTCTTTCATTTCAATTCTAGCCACTTTAATTGCAATTTTAGCCATTCTATATATTTGTCAATCTAATTTCAAAACATCATCTTTTAATCTTATCCGTCCATCTTAAAATAAATTCAAAATCGAATCCTAGCCCTTTATCTCTTATCAAATTCTACTGTCAAGATTTAACCTCCTATTCTTCCTAAATTCTAATACCCTAAATGACTAAAAAAAACTCACTCTCTCTTCCTCCCCTCCCTCTCTCCAGCCGCCTCTCTCTCTCTCTCCCTATTCTTTCCGGCGAGCTTCCCTTCTCCATAGTCGTCGCTCCTCTTCCTCTCTCTCTCCATGCCCGAACCCCCTCTTTCTCTCCTCTTCTCCCTCTAGTCTTGCTCTTCCCTCTTCCCGACGAGGAAGCTGCTGTGGCCAGCAGCTGGACAGCAGCAGGGGAGAGCAGCTGCTGCTGGTAGCCGCCGCCCCTCTCCCCTCTTCTTCTCTCCGTTTTCCAGCAGCCGACCCCTCTCCTCTCTTCCTCTCTTCCCCCGTTTCTCCCCCTTTTCTCCTTCCCCTGTTCTCTTCTTCTTCTTTTGCAGGGAGAAGCAACAACAAAGCAGCGTACTCCGACGAGAGCTTTTGGAAAATCAAGTTTTGTGAAAAGATGGATCTTTAAAAGATCCATCCGGGTACATTTCTTTTAATTTTACTATCTCATCTTTTGATAATACTTGTTCTTCTTTCATTTATAATTTGCCTGGGATTTTAGAATATAAATGTTGTTATGCATATCATGAAAACTTACTAATTAGATCTTAAGATTTTGAATTTAATCGTTTATGGGTTGTTAGTTCGTAAAATTAGAGTTCTTTAGATTAATTGCAGGCACATATAGTTCTTAACATTTCCCTTTTAATAGTATGGTCACCATTTGCTGGTGACAAAATTGTGACTTTGAGATCAATTGTATGCATTAAAAGTATTCGTTTCTTATTCGAATATGAGCTAGATTCTTGACTTATTTGGTTTGCTAACATTGTTCCTTGATAATTGGTATAGATTGCTTATATATTGTGTGACATATTTTTATTTCCTCTTGATGTAATCAAATAATAATAATTGGTGAACCATTTTACCTCACTCTTTTCCCTCTCTCTTGCTTGTTTAATTGAAAATTGATTAATCGATGCTAAGACAATTTTATCACCATATATGAATTCGGACAAATCTTATGTGTTGGTGAGATAATTGTGCCTACTATTTTATTTACTAGTGTTAATTGATTGTAATTACCTTTGTTAGAGTTGATTGGATTCTTACTTGTTTTATTTTTGATGAAATTATATTTTTTTAGGTTAATATAAAAATAAATAAATAATTTTGTTGATTTAGTTTCTCTCTTTT